TAACAGCCAGAGGAAAACAAAGGTAACAGTATTTGAAGTGCAGTTGATTGTTGGAGTTTTCTTTTTCCATTACATTGTTTTCTTTCAGTTCATACCAAAGGGATTTTAAATAAATATGTTCATTTTTTAAAGTGCAACGAACACTAAATCACTTTAGCTATCTTGTAAGCAAAGCAATAATATGACATCTTTGAAACATTGCTTTTTAAGTGCTTGTGAACATTAGGGATGTGAAAGTGTAACCGTGTACACCGTTAACCAATGAGCTTGGGATCACTGGTTAACTTTCACAGTTACACGTGGGCTCCCAGTACACGTGGGGCTCCCTGCCAGCCCCACCCCTGTGCTGCTGCCTCTATATTAGAGGCAACAGCACAGGAGGCCAGCAGGAGCTGACTGATGCCCCGCATGTGACCATATAATTGCTGAAATTTTCCACAGTTACTGGGTTACATCATTAAGTGCATATTAACAACCCTAGTGAGCATTAGAGAGCATTAGAAAAATAAATATCAGGAGAAAATATTAGATAATGTTTAACAGTAGGGCAGTAATATAATAAGGTTGAATGTACTAAGAAATGAAAGTGTATCATTCATTTCCCCTATTCTTAAGTGTGTTATCCATTTAGAATACAGGTTGAACCTCACAAATCCAGGTCTCTCTGGTCTGGCAACATCCATGGTTCGGCAGGCCACAGATGCTGCTGGACCAAAGAGCCCTGGAGGTAGGAGCATATGGGGAGCCCCTACCTTGGGAAGCCATTACTTGGCCAGGAGCATATGGGGAGCCCCTACCTTGGCCGGGGAATCTCTAGCATAAGCAGGGCCAGGTGCCCACAGCCAGCAGCATATCTTTCTATTGGTGATGAACATCTGCACATGCCTCACTGCACATGCCAAAATTTATTCTGCACGTGGTTGGAAAAAATTAGAGGGAACATTGGTGACCAGGGAGTCCTGGCCCCAGCTGGGGCACCCCTGGCTGCAGTAAGGCTGTCTGTGGCCAGGCTACCCCAGCCAGGAATCTCAGCAAACCCCAGCTGGGCAGCGGGGCGAAGGTGACTGGGCAGCCTCTGCCAGGGAACCCCCTGACTAATGTGCAGCTGGTGGAGGAGGGCAGCCAGAATCCCCAGCAGCAGTGAGGCAGCCCTAGCAGTGGGGTGGGCCAGCTGGGCGCCTCAGCTGGCGAACCCCTGTCAGTAGCAGCCAAGCAGTCCCTGCCTGGAAACCTGGAGACCATGGAACAGCAGGCGGGCAGCAAGGTAGAGAGCCATGTTGGGCAGGTCTGTGGGGGGCCAGCAGCAGGGCAGAGAGCCCCAAGGAGAGGAGCCTTGAAGCGGTGCAGCCAGCAGGGGAATGCTGATATTCCCCTGGTCCAGCAAACTCCCTGGTCCGGGATACCTCAGGTCCCAAGGGTGCTGCACCAAGGAGGCCCAACCTGTAGAAGCTTAGACACAAGGAGCTGTCTATTCATAACTGTAGAATGCCTGGAACTCTTTTGAGCCCTCTGTAAAATAATAAGGTGAAGAAAAAGAACCAATTCGTATTGGCTTACAAAACACATGTGTATAAATCAAGGCACCAACATGAAATTAAGGACTAATTAACAGTGTGAAAAGTTCTGACAATAACATTGGACATATTCATTATGGGCCAAGTTCTTAAAGATACTGAGGCCCCATAGTTCTTTCCTCGAAGTTTAAAATATGAGATTCAGCCTTTTCAGTCTGATGAGCACTCTCTGCTTCCATTGATTTCAAAATCTATGAGACCCATTTCTGATATGGTGTAACTATATGAAGTTTAGGAGATTGTACCTATTAACAGCAGCTCTAAATTTGTCTCTCCTTTTTAACATCAAAAATACATATATGAAGGTCAACTTTGTTACAGTTCTAAAAGATGCATGATGAAATTTTTTCAATAAAAGTTAGCTCATCATGTATAATTCAAGCAACCTTTTGCTCTCAAATCAGAGAAGGTATTCTTTAAGTTCAAACAGTGTTAAGTGATGAAGGTTTTTTCAGATATTACCATGGTTTTAAGATGTTTTTAACAAAAAGAATGCTAACTAGATTTTTAATATTAAAAGTTTGAAATCAAATATGCCCATCACTGGATTATTTTAAATCTTAAAATCTTAGCGTTTATACTTGGAAGAGGACTTCCTCCTTTATCTTTTTAATTTGATTGAATTTTTCATGTGAAAGTAAAAGACTATGACAGTAACTCGATTGTAGGTAAAGGATGTATGTATAGTATTACAGAGAGAAATAGAATGTTCTGTTAGCCATCTCTTGAGAGCAGTAGTTATCTTAATTGTAAGTTCAAGAATGGTAGTTTGGCCTTTTATTAAATAAATGGGAATTGTGAAAGGAGGATTTTAGGCAGGTACTAAACCTGAGCAATATTTAATTAGAGAACTGTCTTGATAGTGAGCTGCAGTCATGTACAAGCACCACAGCTGAAGGCTTATGTGAAAACAGATTCTTGCATATAGGCTAAATATTAATACCTACCCATCAATAGAAACGTGTACTGAATTGATGTTGTTGCCCCATATACACAATGCTTCAATATCTGATCTTATCTGGGCCTACCTGTCATCTGAGATCTTTCCTTTCTGTAATCCATTCTTAATGCATTCAGAGTGGAAAGAGAAATACTTATCCAGAGACATCGCAGAACCAGATAGACAACATGGGAGCAGTGTGAGGTAAACTCATTCATGAGCAGATGAAGAACTAAAGTACCAATAGCAGAATACCACTTTCTCTTCAAGAAAAAAAATGTTGGAGTACCACTTTGAACACATGTGGAACCATAGAATCATTGGTCCTTACCTCAAACATTGTAATAATCCAGGCTGTTTTCAACTGCAGTATATAAAATGAGAAAAGAGGAGCTGTGTTTTAAACAAAGTTGTACTAATTGTTCAGCTGCAAACACTCAACTCATTTTATCTGTAATATACACCTGCATTGAATTGAAGTTCTTAGGTTTTTTTGTTTTGTTCAAAATTTTCAGGAATCTTGCCCCTTGATTCAGAAGAGTCCGGTCTCTGTGAAATTGCTCTAGTTCATGAACATTATTTGGGTAAGTAGAATGTCATTTGTAAATATTTAAAATTATTACAGATATAAAATCCAAAGGAATCTTTCTCATAGTCAGCCAGTGCTTGGAACCTCCCGCCCTGCAAGGGGCTCAGCATTTAAAGTGCTGTGCAGTTGGCAGTTGACTCTAAGCACAATGCTCCCATGCAGGGTAGGGATAGAGAGCGAGAGACTTCACGTGCTCCCCCTCTCCAGGCCCTGATTGACCTGGGGGCAGCATGCAAAGTCTCCTCCCACTGCGTGGGTAACTAGAGGGAACTGCCAACGTGGTTCTCTCTGGGTGGGCAAAGACTTTGCACACTCCCCCACCCCTAGACCAATCAGGGTCTGTGGCTGCAGAAGCATAGAAGTATCCTGGCTCTGCCCCTTTCACCTGAGGCCCTGTCCTTTCCGGGGTGGTCCGGGGCTACTTCAAAAATTATTGCCCACCCCTGCCTTAGAATCAAAGGGACATATGGAATATACCCTAACGAACTAGAGTGGAGGTGGAAAAGGCAAATTCCCAAGTTCAGAAACCCAGGGAAAAGATGGCATTGTAGATTATACCAACATTTCCTTCTTTGGAATCTCTTTGCCTTTCCTGAAGCAGCATTGTCTGGTGGATAGAGTGACTGGACTGAAAATCACAACACTTGAGTTTCATTCCCAGCTCTGCTATATTCTGTTGTTTAGTTAAATGACTTGCTCAAAGAATCTATCTTAATTATTCTTTCTATTCTTCTGACTCTGTCCATGGAGAAGCAAACCTCAACTGCTGTGGAATGGAACTTCTTTAAAGAATAATGTAAACTTACATTTATACTGACACCAAACCCTTACTCCACTTTTAACTGTGTAAATTATTCTGAGGAAAATATTGTTTCCCTGATCCCTATATATTGGTTGTAACCAGTGGGTTTTTTTATAAGAAAAAAAAAGGTGCCGGTTCTCTAGGTCAAACTTGTTGAGGCCCCCGAAAAAAAGTGGGCGGGGAGGGGGACTTGTTAAGCCAAAAAAAAACAAACTTGTTGAGCCAAACCAAAAACCATGCTGGGGGCTGAAATTCAGTCGCAGCTCCTTTAAGAGTCGCTGCTCTGGAAGCTGGAAGAAAAAACACCGCATGTCCCGAGCAGGTTTCTGTCAGGAGCCGAGCTGCCCCAGGAAAACAGGTACTGGTACGCGCAAGGGAAATCCCATTCCCTTACTGTGGGTTGGGAAAATAGGTGACGGTACGCCATTCCGGGCAGTACCATCACAGAAAAAAACACTGGTTATAACCAAATAACCTAGATAACAAGCTAACTCACTTTAAGGTAAAATCCCCTTCTGGTTGTGATTCCTTATGCCAGTAAAATAATAGTGGTTCATTAATATTGAAAATAAATGTTTAGTACTTTTTCTAATACTTAAAACTATAGGCTAAGCAAAATCAGGAGTTGTATAAAAGTGAGAAGTATGTGCTGGTGGACTATACATGTTAACTTTACAAGAAAATCCTTTTAAGATTTCCTGTATTCCACTGTATAGTTTACTACGGCTGTGTTTACACTGGCAACTTTTTCCGCAAAAGCATTTGCTTTTGCGGAAAAACTTGCCAGCTGTCTACACTAGCCGCTTGATTTGTGCAAAAGCACTGACGTTCTACTGTCTGAAATCAGTGCTGCTTGCGCAAAAGCCCTTTTCCGGAAATGTTTTTGCGCAAGAGGGCCAGTGTAGACAGCTAAAAACTGTTTTGCGCAAAAAAGCCCCGATGGCGAAAATGGCGATCAGGGCTTTCTTGCGCAAAACCGCATCTAGATTGGCACAGACGCTTTTCCTCAAAAAGTGCTTTTGCGGAAAAGCATCCATGCCAATCTAGATGCTCTTTTCCGCAAATGCTTTTAACAGAAAAACTTTTCCGTTAAAAGCATTTGCGGAAAATCATGCCAGTCTAGACGTAGCCTTTGTGTAGTGTCATGAACTGACTTACACAGTGTCTCAGATAATCCTAGAGTTCTCCAGTGCATCAACAGAGAGATTTGGATAACTCGATGATCACTTTATTCTCAATTAGTATCAGGTGTGAGGGGGAAAGCAGTGCAATCTAAGTCTCTAATCTCTTGTTCCTCATATTTAAAAATCAGTCCAGGTTCTGGATCTGGATTTTCAGTGTGGAAGGTAGTACAAAGAACCTCTTAAAAAAAAAAAGGGGGGGGGCAGGGGGGAGGGAGGAGTTGTTGAGGCGCTTTTTGCATTTGAAAGTGAACTCAGTAAAGATTGCTGTACAGATCAGATGCTTAGTTCCTCAGAGAAGCAAATGCCTGTCTCCCACTCTGTAGAAGAATCCTACTGGTCAACATAATAACACTGCATGCAAGAGCATGCCACTATTTTCTTTATGTAATGGAGGAGACATGGTTTAGAGGAAATGGACTGGCATTTATTATTTCTCCCTATGCTTTTAATAGAAAACTAGGAAGCTGTGCCCCCTGCTCACTATGCTCACTAACCCCCCACTCTATGGGGATAGGCAGCCCTGGTTCATCCCAGCCGCCAGGGAGACCTGGGGTTGAGGCCACACCAGCCACGGTCTCTCATCCCTCTCTCTCTCCCTCTCCCCCAACTGCCGGGGAAGGCTGAAATTTCACCAGTCCCAGTCTTCCGTCCCCAGCCACCAGGGAAGGCCAGGTCTGAGGCCATGCCACCCCTGTTCTCTTGCACCCGTGGCTGCCGCCCTACAGCTCTTCCTCTGGCCGCTGGGGAGGGGTGGGCTGGGCCAGCGCAGCAGTCCCAGCTCTCCATGTGGGACCGGGAGGGAAAGGGGGAAAGAGAGAATATATGAATATATTAAAGATCTAGGGACAAAAACTATTGTTAAAATTGTTTTTATTGAAAGGTGGGGTCTTTACAAAACTAGTTGCTTTCTTTCCCTGTCTGTTTATTCTCCTTTTACACAGTTCATAAACCAGAAAAAGTCTGTTGGGTTGAAGCAGCAGGGACCATTCGTGATGGCCTAAGAGCATACACAGCCCTGCATTACCTTTCCCATGTTTCTCCTGGAAAAACTGTATTAGTAATGGATGGAGCAAGTGTAAGTAACAATAATGTACTAAAATCACATCTTTAAAATAATTTGGGAACAAACAGTAATTTATAGGTCTGTCAAACAAGTTAAAACATTTATTGCAATTAATCACATGATTAAATTGTGCTATTAATAGAATACATTATCTAAATATTTTGATGTTTTCTACATTTTCAAATATATTGATTTAAATTACAACACAGAATATAAAGTGTACAGTACTCATTGTTTTAATTTTTGGTTACCAATACTTGTGTGTTAAAAATAAAAAATAATATTTTTAAATTACTCTAATACAGATACTGTAGTGTAATATCTTTTTCATGAAAAAAAAGAGAACTTACAAATGTAGAATCACATACAAAAAGCAACAGCATTCAAATATAATGTTATGTTCTACAAGTCCACTCAGTCCTCCTTGTTCAGTCAATCACTCAAATAATGCCACCAACAGAAAATTGATTTTCTTTTTTGGTGGTTTAGGATCTATAGTTTCCACGTCAGAGGTTTGCTCTTTTAAGATTTCTGAAAGAAACCTCCACATCTTGGCTTTCTCAGATTTTGGAAGTCATTTCCAATTCTTAAATCTTGGGTCAAGTGCTATAGTTGTCTTTAGAAATCTCATCATTGGCAACTTCTTTGCATTTTGTCAAATCTGCGATGAAAGTATTCTTAAACAATATGTGCTGCGTCATTATCTGACACTACTGTAACATCAAATATATGTCAGGATGTGGCTAAAACATAACAGGAAATGCACAAGTCTCCTTCAAAGTGTTCAGTCACAAATTTAATTAACAATTTTTTAAAAAGTATAATCAGCAGGGAAGAATGGTGATTTAATATCAGCAGGGAAGAATGGTGATTTAATATCATCACCATTCCTCTGGAATGGCAGCCAAAGCATGAAAGGGCATATGAATATTTAGCATAAATACCTTGGAATGCTGGCTACAAAAGTGCCATATGAATGCTTGTTCTCACTTTCAGGTGACATTGTAAATAAGAAGCAGGCAGCATTATCTCCCATAAATGCAAACTTGTTTCTCTATGCAGTTGGCTGAACAAGAAGTAGGACTGAGTTGACTTATAAGTGCTAAAATTTTACATTGTTTTGTTTTTGAGTGCAGTTATGTAGCAAAAAAACTACATTTGTAAGGTGCACATTCACAATAAATAGATTGTGCCACAGTACTTGCATGAAGTGAATTGAAAAATATTATTTTTCATTTTTACAGTGCAAATATTTATACTAAAAATAATAGTGATCACTGTATACTTTGTATTCTGTGTTGTAATTGAAATCAATGTACAGGCAGTCCCCGGGTTACGTACAAGATAGGGACTGTAGGTTTGTTCTTAAGTTGAATTTGTATGTAAGTCGGAACTGGTACATATTTTAGGGAAAACTCTAGACAAAACATTTCTCCAGAGGTCAGTTTTATTCTCCCACACCTCACTTCCCTCAGTCCTTTATTCTCAAGCTGAGGTGTCTGCTGAGAAAAGCCGCTCCGCGTCTCCCTGGTCTGCAGGGGGGGAGGGCGCTAGCTTCGCGTCTCCCTGTTCTGCTGGGGGGAAGCAGCTAGTGTGGGGTTGCCTCACCCCGTTTGTAAGTAGGGATCCAATGTAAGTCAGATCCATGTAACCCGGGGACTGCCTGTATTCCAAAATGTAGAAAAAAAATCCAACAATATTTAATAAATTTCCATTTATATTGTTTTATCAGTGTGTTTAAATCTGTAATTAATTGCTATTAATTTTAATTGCATGAGTTAACTGCGATTTAATCAACAGTCCCAGTAATTTACTTTTATCAAGGAATTTACCCAGAAACATAGGATTTGCAGTGACAGATTGGACACACCAAGTCTTCTGATTCTGTGTCGTTCAGTAGATGTTTCACAGCAGTTGCAAAAAGACACCCCTAAGCACATTGGGCCAATTTGTACCATCCTGTCCATGTTGTGTGAGGAGTAGAGGGGGAATAATTCTTGCTTTGCTCTGTTTTGATGTACTCTTTTATAGTGATCTCTCAACTGTAGATGGAAGAAGGTGTATTTTATTTAACCTCCGTCCACAGCACCATTTTTAAATTTCTTCTTGTTGTTCAGTTGTGAATACCTGTCCTTTTTAACTGCTGGTATAGCTTTAGGTTCACTTAAGCATAAAACTATCAATGTAAATATAGTTTTTCAACGTATACAAGCTAACAAGTGCTTGGAGCACTTCTCTAGGTACAGTAAAACTCCGGTAGTCTGGCATCCAGTGGTCCGGTATGCCTGATGGTCCGGCACCAACTGCTACCCGGAAGTGCTCCGGCAGCTGCTTCAAGTTGTTACTGTAATTGATTAACTGCGGCTGGATCCACAGCAGACAGGCTGTCATTCTACCTTTCCTCTCTACTGCCTGGAGGGGGGGGGTGCAGGGGAAGGTA